CTCCCCCCGGGAACCCACCTACCTCGGGCCCTCCCCCATCCCCCGGGGCCGCCCAGAGCCCGGGCCCTCCCCTCCGCCCCTCTCCACCTCGGACCCTCCCCCGGGGCCTCACTGGGCCCGGACCCTCCCCCCAGGAACCCGCCTATCTCGGACCCTCCCCGCCTCTCTCTCGGGACCGCCCCGAGCCCAGACTCTCCCCCTCCCCAGGGGCCGCCCGGAGCCCGGAGCCCGGAGCCTCCCCCTGGCCGCGAGGAACCCGGTCCCAGGCGGGAGGTGTGCTGGGGGCGGGGCGCCCGAGACCCGGAAGCGGGGACGAACACAGGGGAGCCCGAGAGATGGCGGCGGTGGCCGTGAGCAGCGCCAAGCGGAGCCTGCGGGCCGAGCTCAAGCAGCGTCTGCGCGCGATGAGCGCCGAGGAGCGGCTGCGCCAGTCCCACCTCTTGGCCCAGAAGGTGCGAGACCACGAGGCCCGCCACTGCACCGGACCGCCACGCTCGCGTAACGGCCAGGCGGCTGTGGTTTGGCGGCCTGCGCAGGCGCAGCCCCCGGCGTGCGCACGTCGCTCCCGGGCGCGCGCACGTCTCAGCAGGAGCCGGGAGGACGCCCCCGGGCACGCTTCTCCGCGGGCGGCCTCCGGGGGCGCGCACGTCCTTCTGTCGGGGGAGCGCGCGGCGAAGGGGTCCCGGGCTAAGGAGGGCGAGGGTGGAGGTGGATGGATGACAGCTGGCCGAGGCGAGAGCAGGGTGGGCGCAGGAAGCTCTGGCGGGCTGAGCGGCGGGCACTGAGTCCGAGGGGCCCCGTGAGACCCCCGGAACGTGGACGCGCAGCGAGAGTCCAGTCGCCTCAGGGACGCGAGCAGAGAAGCGCGCGCCCGTGCACCTGTCCCCTCGCGCGCTGCCCGGGAGTGTGGGACGCCCACGGGAGGCGGGGGCGGGTCGCCGGTTCCGACGGGCGTCCGAGCCCTTTCCGCAGAGCGGCGCGCAGTTCCGTGAGGTCCCTGCAGTGAGCGGTGCAGCCAGAATCCCTCCCTCACCCTTCCCTGCTCTGTCGTCCACCCATTTCCCAAGTGCAAGGTCCCTGTGGGTTACAGCGGCCAAGCAAGCCCACCTCTCCCTCTCCTAACACGCAGGTGTGCAGGGTTGGTGTGCACGTTCGCACCGAGTTATTGGAGCTGCAGTGAGAGGCATTGCCGGGTGCACGGGTCGTGCAGACAGAGGACTGGCCTCGCTGGCGGGTGCTTGGATCTTAGCGCGTCATCTCACGCATAGGGAGCACTCACCGTGGTCCACTCTGGCTATGTGCGGGTGGCAGGGACGAAAAAGATTGGTCGTTGCTCTAAAGGAGAGTCTGCACTGAATAGAGAATCGCAGTGCTGTCAGATATATGATGAACACCAAAGCTGTAGAAAGCGCCATAGGAAGATGTTCAAGATGCACCTTGTAGTTGAAGATGGATTTTGTCAGGTGAAGGGAAGGTGATGTGGCACGTGCAAGAATATTCTGGCAAGAGATAGAAGCACACTAGTGAACACGGCCTTTGGAGCTACACGGATCTGCATCTAATCTGGCTCCACTGCATTTTAGCCGTGTATGGCCATGACCGAGTCTCCTAATCTTTCCGGGTGTCTGATTCCTCATCCATTAAAGGGATAATGTCATCCTTGTAGGCCTATTGTGAGGGTTTAAACAGGTGGGTAAGGGGGATGAGTTTGGTGCTTCACATTTTTTTTCTTTTTTACCGATTTTATTTTTAAGTAATCTCTACACCCAAGGTGGGGCTTGAATTCACAACCCCAAGATCAAGAGTTGGTGTGCTTCACTGAGCGGGTCAGGCATCCCTACACATGTTTTTGATCTATCCTTTAGAAAAAGCATATTGGCAGCATTTTGGAAAATGGGAGTCTGTGCAGTTGAGAATCAGCCAAACCTGGCCACTGGTTGGACAGAGCTCAGACAGTAGTGGAAAGCAGAGGAGTCTTCTGTGATTTCAAAATTCAGAGCTGGGGGTTTAAGGTCACTAGACAGGAGGCACGTAGGAGCTGGAGCAGATTTTGGAATGGTGTGGGGAAAATAAAGATGAGTTCAGTTTGTCTGTCTGTAGAAGATAGGAGTTCATAAATACCAGGTGGGAACAGTAGCTGCGCAGATGCAGAACCAGTGACAAAATAGGGTGACAACTCAGAGCTGGCAACAGAGGAGAGAGAAAAGTTGAAAAGCAGACCCATGACCCTCCGTACTCCATACATTTTACCCCCTACAAATACACACATACAAGAAATGTTTCACAGCCCAGTGTTTCACAATTCTTACTGTATACAGTGAACTTTACTATATTCTGTTTTATTTAAAAATGCTGATTGTAACCTGCTATTGATTTCATGGTCAGCCAATGGATCATGGTCAGAAACATCCACGTGCTGTGATTAGAGCAGTGTTTTGCCATAGTGCACGTTCAATAAAGGTGCTAAGTGATGCCTTTCTCTCAATAACGTTTTTTAAAAGGCACATTTATTCTTAATGACACAGTAGTTTTTTTATAATTTAGAAATTTATTGGAAAAGTGATGTACGGTGAAGAAATTCAACTTTATGCCATATCTTGACTCCCCAGCTAAATAAGGAAATTAGTGCCCTGTACTCTGTCTTCTGTTGCATCTGCCAATTTCTGACCCCTGTATCAACGTACTTAAATTGCCAAGTTTTATAATATTTGTATTCTGTTTTATAATTAGAATGAGTCTACTGAGCATTTTCTGTGACTGATTTCCAAATTTGGAATTTAAGTAAATAGTATTTACAATATATTGGTTATACAGGTAGTATTCACTGTAAAACCAAGTTGTATGATTATAAGATAAGGATGTATGTTTCCTGTGCCGCTAGATGTATGTGTCTAGGCGGAGAATGTTTCAAGTGTCATTACTGAGAACTCTCATTATGCTCTAAAACTGCTCAAAATCATGACGTGTTTTAGTCTGTTCCTATTTGGAACCTACATTTCTAATTCAGCTCTGTGTTTTTCAAGGAGCTTCTGATCGCCTTTATTTTCCCTTTTTGGCAAAACAAGAATATGCGTTTATCTTATCAGTAGATTCTTTTTCATTTTGTTTGTTTAAATAAATCCATTTTCTTCCCGAGAGCACTCCAGCCCCCTGCTCCCTCTGCTCAAGCCCAGTGCACAGCCTCGGCTTCCTCCCACCCTGCTTCTGAGTTAGGGCTGCTACTCGAACCCAGTATCTTCCTGGTTGGGTTTCTTTTTTTCCATCTTACTAGAGTGTATTCTCAAGTAATTTTTTTCTCTTTAGAAATATCTATGGGGGTAAACTTTTTAAGACTTTATACATTAGAAAATGTCTTTACCCTCATATTTGGCTGATAGTTTGAATTTCAAATTCAAAAATATTTTTCCTTGTTCTGCTCAGCACCCATGACCTCCATCCAGTCTGAAGACTGGTCTCTTTATCTGTTACATCTTTGATTACTTCTTTGCCTTTGTGCCTCTCTGCAATTCCTGTGAACCAAATAGTGATAATCCTATACTGACTTTGTGTCTCTCAAGATTTTTTTTTTTCTTTACTTTCCCCATTTCTTTGTCTCTTTCTCCTACTTGAAGGCTTTCTCCTGAACTTTTAAATTTTGGTATTCTTAATTTTAATCTTCAAGTATCATTTCTTGATTTTCTGATTGCTTTCTTTCCATAGCAGCCTGTTGTTATTTTATAGATGCAACTATCTTGAATTTGTCTGAGAAAACTAATTAGAATTTAAAAATTTCCCATTCTCTGAATTATCTCAGTTTCCCACTGGATCACCGCCCCCCCCCATAGTCCTTCTCTTTTGTGTTTTGGCTTTCTAGAATGTTTGCAGAACCTTTATTGTATTTATTTATTGTATTTATGAATGAAGGTGTGACAGCTCCTGGGGATCTCTGCCTTTTGCAGTCGCTCGGGGAGGGAGGGATGTGTTCTGCCTGCCCCACAGCCCTGTCCTCGGAGTATTACGTCAGCTGCTGTTTGTCTGGAAATACTGTCCCATCTCCTCTCCGTCTCACAGAAAGTAGTCACGTGTCTGTTCTCCTGTTCTCAGTGCTATAATGGTTTTCTCTTTTCATGCTTCTTTACTGTCGTATAAATGAGATTTCAGGAAGCAAGAAAGATAAATGCGTATGCACAGCCTCGTGCTGATTTTTAACTGATGTCTATTGCTGCGTATTCAGCTCTTGATGTTTCATGTTCTCTTTAAAGAGAACAAACACGACAGACACTTAACTTTCTCAGAAAGTACTTGGGTACCAGAAGCCTCAGGTCTGCGCAGGGTCTGGGTGTCGCATTTCTTTTCGTTTCGCCTTATTTCAGGCCTCGTAACAGTGCTGTAACTTCCCAAGGAGATGGAGCTCACTTCCTTCCTTGGCCCCCGGCTGGCGTGTTCCGTCTACTGAATTTCTGTGCACTCCTTTCTATTAGGAGTCACTTGACTTTCTGTACCTGTCTCTTTCTGCCAGTCCTATTTATAAGCCAGTGTTGCGGTAGCTGTGTCTTCTTAGCTCAGAAGAAAAGAAAAGGAAGGGGAGCTAAGAGCTAAATTGTGAGCCTGGGGCAGTTCTGAGGTTAACTGCTCTGTAGCCGGCAAAGCTTAGCCCCTCTCCTGCCTGATGAATGAACAAACTGAGCATGATGGCGTTCTCTCATCCCGGGGCCACCTTCTCGCAACCGGGCGTTTGTTTCTAGAAGGGCTGTGCCTCTCCAGGATCCCCACCTCCCATCTCTGCAAACACTTTAACATCTGTTTGGACAGAAGAGTTGTAAGAGGTGGGGACAGAGGTGCACAGAGCTGAAGAAGGACAGGCATGTCCCCTGCTCCCAGGAACTTACAACCTGGTTAGAATACTGCAGTTAGGACTTGTGAAACAGTTAGTAATCAGCCCGAGGATACATAAGTCAGTGTTAAGTGCACTCTTAAGTGTTGTAAGTGTTCTGCCGAAATCAGCAGAAGCGAGCCCGAGTTGGCTTAAATGGGTGGGATTTAGGGGGAGATGAGCCTGACAATCCAGGGAGTGAAGAAGCTCGTGGGAGCTGAGGTTCGGAGTTAAAGCAAGGCAGAGATGCTCAGGGCAGTGTGCGGGGTGACCGAAGGCGGCCGGCACGTGTGGGCTGGAGGGCAGGCCTGGGATTCTGCGTGCAGACAGCGACTTTCTAACGAGTTCTCGCTCCTGCTAGAGAAAGACGACAAGGGGTCAGAGAGGTGGTTGCTGGGTTCAGAACCAAGGCCTGGGCTTCAGGATGCAGCCCTGTCCGGTCCCCTCTGCCACTCTGCTCTCCGTTGGTGACTTGTGTTTGGATAGTTCAAGGAGCTGGAGAAGGTGGAGAAAGAAGGGAGAAAGCATGAACACCGTGAAGGGGGGGCTACTGGTGTTTGCAAGTGTAACCTTGGGGGATCAATGTGACTGCCGTTTCCCATTTAGGTGATGGCCCACAGTCGGTATCAAAAGTCCAAAAGGATTTCCATCTTCCTGAGCATGCAAGACGAAGTCGAGACAGAGGAGATCATCAAGGACATTTTCCGACGAGGCAAAACCTGCTTCATCCCAAGGTACCAGTTCCAGAGCAATCACATGGATATGGTGAAGCTGGCATCGCCCGAGGAAGTCTCCTCGCTTCCCAAAACATCCTGGAACATTCATCAGCCCGAAGAGGACGAGGTTCGGGAGGAAGCTTTGTCGACAGGTGAGCGCTAACGTACTGAAACTGACATGCCAGGGTGCTGGCAGATGGTGACATTCGGGTCGTGGGGGCCGCTTTTCTTATAGGGACGAACGGTGTGGCGCTTCTGTTCCAAGACACCCTCATTACCCGGCTTAGGGCGAGATGCCCCCGGTAAGCTGTGACAGTAAGGTAATTCAGGTGTGGCCGCCTTTGTACAGACTCTTGCCCTTACCCATGGGTCGGATTAGACGTTTTCCCTGGAGAATTTCATCATTTCCCATGATCCCCCTTATGCTCCGTATATTAATGAGCACATTATTATTAATGCTAATAAGCTTTTCTGTCTCCGCTTCAGATCAGGCACCTGCCTTCTGGACATCTCCTCTTGGATGTCACGTGGGCATCAGCCTGCTCCAGGCTGAATCCCGTCCCCCTCAGCCCTTCTGGCCGCATGTCCCTCTTAGCGCGTGGTGCCATCCACCACGCGGCTGGCCGTGCCAGGAATCTCAGGATCATCCTTGACTTCCCTCCTTCTCTCTCTCTCTCTCGCCCCTCGTGTGGTCCACGGCCAAGTCCTTAGGATGTTACTGCCGAATGTTTCTTGCGCATGTCCGTTGCTCCCCTCTGCGGCCCCGCAGCCCTGTCTGCAGTCCGAGCCGCCAGTGCTCTCCCCATGGCCGCCTCACTGCTGCTCCTTGCCACCTCTCGCACCTGTCCGCCCTGTCGGTCCGCTGCGCACACAGTCCGTGCGACGAGATTCCCGGGACACACATCTGACCATGTCTCTGCTCTATTTCAGGTGTCTCAGCGACCTCCTGCTGCCCTGGGCGGGGGGAGCCAGACACTCCTTACGAGGCTCTTCCCAACTTGGCACTGTGTGTCTGTCCGTTTTCACCTCTCTCCGGTCCCCCACTGTGTAACCCAGGTTCCAGCCACTCTTGAGTAGCTCTGTCTCCCAGCCCTGCTGGCTTTCTTTACTGCTGGGCCTTTGCACACGCTCTTCCCTGGCCAACAGCCAACAGCCGCTTGGGAGATTTAATCGTTAATAAGTAGTCAAAGAGCTGAAAGCAAAACAAGACAGGGCTACTAGTTTGTCAAATGATGACTCAGACCTTCTTAAAGGTGTATGTTTGACTAAGACTTGAACGGTTGCAGGGAACCCCAAAGCAGCTTTGTGAAGTCATTTTTCTATTTCTGCTTCCTTCCAGCCTAACACTGTAACCCACATAATCAGCATGATGGGGCGGGAGAGGATAGAGCAGGGCTTATCGTGGTGGGGGGGGTCATCTGGTGATGTTGGCGACCTTAACTCCCCCTCTATTATCCAGTCCTGCACTCTGCTAGAAGTGAGGCACCAAAGGTATACTCAGATCTACCTCCTTCCTGTCCTGCATCGGTAGACCGGAGGAATGCCAACATTATGGGATGGTGGCGTGTCTTCAAGGGGAGAGGTTGCAGATATTTGAAGACAGTGAGACAATAAGGGGGTGCGGTGTATCTCGGGGAGTAGCCCAGGCTTGTACGATGAGGCTGGGACATTGCTCAGTATGAATGCAGCTACTTCTGCGGACTTGCAGGCTTACGGGTGGGACCCAGAACTGTCTGGCTCTGTCTGACTCTGTGTTAGCTGCCCCTTTGGTGCTCACACCACCTCGTGATGTCCCTGCTGAAATCCCCATCGCCAGTTCTTCCCAGGGTACAGTCTCTGTAACAGCTCGGCCCATTCTGGAGTGTATTCCTTAGGTTGAGCCAAAGTGTACACCCTGAACCTTTATGCCTTTGTTCTATCTCTATTTAAGTACAGCAGTGGGAAGGGTAAGGAGGAGACATGATCTTTCCTCTTAATCTAGTTGCATTTCCCGCTTACGATAAACTCAGTCCAAGTCAGTGAGCTAAATCATTTATGTGTGGTTTTTAGAGCTGTTTGATAAATAGTTAACTATGTTTTCTTTTTTTTTTTTGAGTGAGAGAGAGAGTGCACATCAGTTGGGGTGGGGAGCAGCAGAGGGAGAGAGAATCTACAGACTCCCCACTGAGCGAAGAGCCTGATACAGGGTTTGATCCTAGGACCCCGGGATCATGACCCAAGCCAAAGGCAGATGCTTCACCGACTGAACCACTTGGGCATTCCAAATAGTAACTTCTTAATTTTGAGCAAGGAAGACAGAATTACTCATTTTACTCTCAACTCATTGCTAGCCAAGGGTGTAATATTTTGATAATTTCCAAGAAACGTTTCCTGAGCATCTTCCTTGTGTTAGACACTGTTAGGTCTGGAAAGATGAGGTCCTGGACTTCAGGGGGTCACACTCTTAACTGGGGAGACAGCAAACATATGTAAATAGAAAACTATCCCAGCCTGCAGGGCATGTCAGATACAGGCACCAAATGAAAAGGTAGAGAATATTAAGAATATAGAAGTTCAGGGCTTGGCCCTGAATAGAAAGAAGTCCACTCAAGAAACTGTTCATTTCCTTCCTCCAGTGCATTTATCCATGCTATAGTTGTGGGGCCAGTTGCTTTCCCTCTGTGTGTTCTTGGCAGACACTTGTGATCTGGGTTGCAAAGGGAGGAGGGGGTCATATCTGGTTTCTTGCCACTGCAGTCTGGGGGTGAGGCTCTTCAACAGGCTGCCGTTGGTAGAAATGTTTGAGCAGGCACGTCTGTTACGGGCACCATGGGTTCCCACGGCATCAACAGCCTTGGGGCTGAGGTGCAAATCGAGCTTCACGTTGTCTGGGATGAGCTGGTTAGACCTCAGATCGTCCCTCCTGGCATGGCTTATGTAGCCTGTTTACCTTTCTAGTTTGCCCATGTTACCACGGCTTAGAAAAGAGTGAGCTTTGGTGTCTGCAGTTACAATTGTAAGTTCTTAAAAATTTCACATGGGGTTTGCTTGCACTGTGTATACAGCGAAGCAAGAGATTGCTAAGTGGAAGAGAGGGGCTGCCTCTTTCCTGAACTTGTCCTCGGAGTGAGGGCTGCCTGGGCAATTAGATGAACCAGGAGTCTTTCCACGGAAAGCACATGATCTGATTCAACATGGCTTAATCGAAAATGGGATCTTATTGGCTCACAGACTGAAAAATCCACAGAAGGGCTAGTTTTCGATACGGCTAGATCAGAGTTCTCAGGATCAACTTTGACTCCGCCTTCATCTGGGTTGGCTTCAGTTCCAGGTGCCCCAGGGTGGCCCGTGTGGTGGCCCGTGGTGGCCCGTGGTGGCCCATGGCAGCTCCACATTCCACAGCAGCCTTGCCGTTCACATTCCTGGCAGAAAGAAGCAAGTCTGCGAGTAAAATCCAGCTCTTATTCTCACTGACCCAAATTGGGTCAAGTGGCCATCCCCCAAATCAGTCACTATGGCCTGGGACATGGACAAGACCAGCTCCTGGGCCATTTACTGGGAGCAGGGAGGAGGATGTGCCCACTGCCCAGTGGGTCCTGTGTCCACCCCTGCAGCGCTGCTCCAGCCACTGGGCTGGGAGTCAGGCAGGTGACTCGCCATGGGAAAAACAGGCACTAGGTCGGAGCAAGGGGGATGGACACTGGACAGTCCCAAGGTCAGACTCACCTGTACTGTCAATCATTTCTGAAATTCCTTTTTTTTTTTTTTAGATTTATTTATTTGTTTTGGGGGGGAGGGGCAGAAGGAGAGGGAGAGAATCCTCAAGCAGACTCCCCACTGCACACGGAGCCCGGATGTGGGGCTGGATCCCATGACCCTAAGCCGAAACCAAGAGTCGGCCGCTCAACCGAATGTGCCCTCAGGCGCCCCCCCCCCGAATTCTGTAGAACATAGCAAGTTGTTTGCCGTCACTTTGTCTGTGCTGCCGTTTTATTTCTCCTCTTTCCGGAGGCTCTTTGGGAATTCATACCTATGTGTGGGCCCCTGAAACGTGACTTGAGTGAATGATCGTAATGGAGACTTTCTCGTCGTCAACCAAAACACTTTAAAGTAATTGAATGGGACGTTGTCAAGGACAGAGTCTTTGAGTGTAACACGTGCAACTTCTTCCTCGGTGTTCGTGATCAGTGCTCTTGGGAGGGGGAGGCTTGGTTCACTGAAAGTAATTCCCATTAAATTGACCTCATTTCTTTCTCTAATAGGATTGCGTGGCCTCGGAAAGAATATAATAAAGAGAGTGGGTGTGAATTTCATCAAGGTATTTGACAGAGTCATGATATCCTTGAGGATAAGCTGAATAAATTTAGATCGGATCGTAATACTTCATTCACAAAGTATCGCACGCCAGGTCTGTGTGAGCTGTGATGGGGGCAGAGCAGGGAGCAGGGTGGACCAGTCCCCATCGCCGCAGAGCTGACAAGCCTGTGGTCCTCGCCGGGACAGGTTTGTGCGAGCCTGTCGCAGGGCTCTGTGCTGTCCCGTTCAGTGCTTAGCTGCCACTTAGATGTCCCACTGTCCCCAAGGATGTCTGAGTTCATCCTTACCATTCTCTTGGTGTTTCCCCCATTCCTGTCTGGTTTTCAAACATCACCAGATTTTTCTTTGCCATGTTTTTATCACCTGTCTCGAATTCCAGCTTTAGGGGAATCTTTTGTCTACAGTTTTGATTCTTCAGATCAGTTCCATTGGAATAAACTTTAGATTGGTTTCCCGGATATACTAACTTTCCTAAAGTACCTTTTGGGGCAGGTCACCTCCCTTGTTGAAGCCTTTCCCTGGGCTCTGGATAGATCTGTATACCTGAGCAGACCCTGGTTCCTGCTAGCTCATTCTTGCCGGAAGAAGGGACACTGGATAACCCTGAAACACTGAGGTCACCCTCTGGGCCTTCCCCGTCCTTCCGCCTTGACTCCTGCTTCAGCCAGAGGGGTCTGCTGGACAGCGGTTTCCCAGCAATCCAGAACATAGATGGGAATCACATAAACCTCACTTTGCCCCTTTCTCCTGTGGGACTTAGAGCGTTCGGGCCTCAGACTTCTCCCCTGCGTTCGGTGTCATGCACCGCCTCCCAGCCGTTGGGAAGCTCGCGGGAGGCCGTGTCTGCAGCGTGCTC